TTGCTCAATGACCCATGAAGAGGATCGATTTTGTCTATTACTACACATTGCTCATCGAGAAGGAAAACTAAATTGTTATCCACATTCAATAGAGCCCAGTAACCATCGGGTAATGGAGTCATCCGTGAAAAAATACCAGAGATCGTATCGAGCGAAATAGTACGAAGAGTGTTGAGATCGAGATCACGAAGTTCAAAGCGACACTGTCGATTGAGTGGATTGTTTTCATCTTGAATGCTGAAAGCAAGTTGATCATTTGAATTTAGTTGAATGCATGTGATGAATTCATTTGCACGGCATGTCACAGGACTCAACCATCGCTTCTGCAAAATCCATGAACTAATCTGAATCCATTCGACGGCACTCTCCTGACACCAATAGGAAATGAAAAGCCGATCGTTTCTACAAGTGCATCGACGAAAACTATTGGTTTGATAAGGTGTAATGCGAGTGATTTCTTGAAAGAGTCGTGTCACTGGATCAAAAAGAATAAGCTTTTTATCGAGTAAAATGAAGAATTGTCGTAGATCATGATTCCATTGGATGTCACGAATCTGTTTAGAGAATAAAAGCATTAATCTCATGATTAACAATGGTAACGAGAACGAAATGTCTTTCCGCATCAGACTATCAACCTTTCTGTTTTTTGAATTACATCTCACAATTTTAGACAATCAGTGATAGTAAATGCTCCACAATAGTTTTCTTCTACCTCATCCTATATTCAGCACTTACGACTACATCATGATGCCATATCATCGAAATGTCTCGTCTACCATGCCGATCGAAAAATGTCAATTGCTTATTTTCATATTCTTGCGCAAGTAAATATTCATCGGAAGCACCCATCGCCCAATAATCACCAACACAACTTTCCGTGAGCGGCTTTTCGACAAGCCGTTTGCCTAATCTTGTTATAGCCATGTTGCTATCGTAATTCTGTGCCGTGTTTTGCCACGGTTCCAACGAAAACGTTTCTTTTACTGGATTTGTTGTTTCAATATCCAGTGTATGTCTTTGATCACAATGTTGTATGATGTGTATATTTTCCAGGGAATGACCATATTCATTTTGTAATTTTTCCAGTTGAATTAACTGAGCATCTCGATTGGTTGATTTGCTACCTGTTATTGTCGATGATTCTTCTTCGAAATGAGATCGACAATGTTCTATATGATTTGCGAGTGCTTTTCTAGCATTCTCAGCTGATCGATGAATATCATCGATGGCCTGGCTTTCCCAATGGTCGATAGTTGAGCGCAGTTTACTTTCAATATTTTTATATGTAACCAAACAGTCGGACAGCGGTTGTTGTTTATTATCAGCATCATCCAAATATTTCTCGTAGATTTGACGATGTTCACGAAAATGATCCCAACAAAAGTGGTGCTTACAAACAATGCAGATAGCCACTGATGGTATGCCACAAGGCAAATAACAGGAGACGCTACCGGCTTGCTCTATCGACATGAATTGTTGCGAACAAGATTAATATAAGAGAGACCGACTGTTACTATCAGTTCTGGGTTTTTCCCCGTAGATCAAGAGTTTTCTCGTGAAGAGCAATCTGAAAGCAAAGAAAGTGAGGAAATGACTGCGAGTTACATGTCTATAGCTATAATCAGAAGTTAAGTATGATAATGCTATTGCTTTATTGAATCACTTCTGATGAGTGTCGATAATACTGACGTCACACTGAACTTCAAAAACAATACAGCGTTGTCAATCTGCTTCATAAAAAAATGTCCGTGTGCACGGCATTGAACGAACGCAAATAATCCATTGGAAAGATATAAAATATGTACGACGACCAGATGCACATGTAAACGAGCAATCAATGATTTTTCTCTACTGGCAGAAAGAAAACATTTTACGAATGCAGAATAAAATATTATTACGGCTAGTCGTCTAATTAAAAAAAGTCGATATTATTCATTTCATTAACATAGAAAGCAGATTATAATCTGCCTACACCGCAATTATTCAGATGAGCAACAAGAATAACGTGCGTCGTTTATGAACAGGAAAACAGAATATATTTTTGTTGTGGCTTGTGTCATCGTAGTAAGAAATATATACTATTTTGCTTAGTAACAAAAAGAAATGCTCTCGCCAATCGTCTTCTTCTATATGAGCAGAAATGTAAGTTGATCGACGGTAGTGGTGGCTACTAGCTGAACTCAAAGACTCTTCGACGACGACGATTGTAAAGAATTTGTTTTTCTTTTGCGACACCGATGGCTAGACGTTTTAACAATTTTTGTTGTTCTCCCTACATTTTGAAATGAAAGCGATAAAAAAAGCTGCCGGTCATGTAAAATAAAAAAAAATCTCATACTAGTATGTAGTTGAAATCAGATTTTTCAGTGTCTCATCGATTTCAGTTACGATGGCTGTAAAATACGTGTTTCTCGTTGTCTTCGCTCAATAAATGGTAAACACAATGCTTGAGCAGCCATTTACACACATATCATACTTTAAGTCATTTTACCAAAATATACGTTTTTCATACGGAAAACATTTATAATATAAACAATTTTCTGAATTCTTTGTGATTAATGAACGTGCGTACTGGTATATTTCTATCCGAAGCTGCAATGAATACAAAACCAAACAAAGTAATTGTTCGTAATCCAGAAAATTGATTCTAAAATTGAATACAAAAATATATTTCTCAGAAGTATTTTTAGATTTCCAGAAAAAGTGAATTTCTATAACCGAATTTGAAAATATCTTAAAATCTCATCAACACCGGCCATAAAATACAGTGACTCATATCTTCTTCAACTTGATGGATATCTTTCTCGAAGAAATAGTGTAGCTTCTGAAATTTTGTGGAAATTGGTTTCTCATCTTTCGATTCATTTTAATGCTTAGCTGTTTTTGCATCTTTTTTGTAAGAATTCATCGTAATTTGGATATTTTCTCAAGATATCATTTCGTCTTGATAGAGGTTTGATTGAATTTGATGATTCTGAAAAACAAATTTCTACACTGCTGATCAATACATACTTTAGTTACCGGTTTTATCTCGTGAACAGCGACCCTAATTCAACATAATACTAATGGTAATAAATTCATTGGCAAGCTCAAATAGAATGGCGAGATTTATGCAAAATATTATGGAGTCCAACACGATTTTATATTAATAAAGAAAATTATAAGCTTAAGAAAATATACTCTTGATTTTCATTTGGTTTCATACATATATCAATTGATATATTATAAAGATGCTGCTCGCATACTCTAAACAATCCACAATAGTAATAATCATAATGCTGAAATTGCATCCCAACAATTTAATTGTATCAGTCCATTCTGATCTTGGATAAAGTGTTCGAATAAACGAGCATTTTATTTTTCATGCTCCAATAATTCCCGTATAATAATAACCGTTTTGGCATTGATGCATCTCGTCACTTTTCACGATAGACTTTTTCAAGAACTTCCATTTGCATTTGAATAGTATCTGTAAGAACACAAATAATGAAAACTATTTCTGTGTGGCAATAACTCCGCCATTTTCATCCCAAATTTTCTAACAAAACTAAGAACAAAACCAGCCACTTGATCATCCTCAAATAAACTTGTGTGTGAAATCTCTTGCACTTGAATAAAATTTGAATCGTAAATAAAACGAAAAAAAAATGCCCCATGATAAAAATCACTTGTTACACTATCGACATCGTCACCAGTTAGATGTGAAATATGATTGTAAATTCAATGTCGAACATTTGATGATGATAGAAGATCATATTTTCTTTGAGTTTTTCATGTGTAACTATATATGTTGGTGATATATCTGTAGCTACTGAAATTTCAATATCATTTCTATTAGTATCATCATGTGATGAATATCGATTTCTGATTTGAAGTTGTACATGAAAATAGAATGACATTTCACAACATTATATATTAGCCGAGAATTATGACGTTGAATTTCTGTATAAATAAATTCTCTGGCTTCTTCACTTAAGTTCTGCAATCAGAAGAAAAAATGCTACCCCTTTGAGCGTAGAAATCATGTTAAAAAGCAGTTTTCAACTCAATTTTCTTAGTTATTTCAGCTTAGATTGTTTCTTGAGAGTGTGGAGCTTCTGTTTACCTATACACCCAAAACATTTAGACGAATAAAATTTTACCGTTCATAAAATAACGAACAGTACTAGTTTCTAAATTTTCGTACACTCTCAGTCTTTTTCTATTAAGCTGATAATTTGTTCCTCGTTTTTTTTCTTTTTACAAAAGTTGATGTTTAATAAACAGAATTGTGGTAAAATGAAAAGGTGTTAATTAAAAAAAAGATCAAAGTGAAATCTTGAACAGCATCGCAAAGTTTATATAGAACCGATTCAAGCTACACACACTTGAATAAATATACAGCAGACTAACGAATTAGGCAGTCAACATAATTCTATTCGTTTCTTTTCTTATTTTTGAGAAAGCCAAATTACAATTCATTTGGCTTAACTCCTACGTGGTGTACGCGGGACTCTACACTTGCAAACCAAGAAACTTATTTTTATTACGCTTAAAAATATATGGTGTGTTAGTTTACTCGCTTCGCTAATTGGGATGGACTTGATGAAATGAGACATCGTTTTTTGTCTTTTCTATCGATCATTTGATGAGAAATAGGTTAAAATAATTATCTTCTGATAAAGCAAGCAACGATCAACTTGAGGGTGTGGGGTGTGGATGGGACGTGGTTGTCTATATCGGTGTGAATGTGAGCATTCTTTTGTTCATCATACCAACACCTACACACACACCCCAAGATTTTCCCGGCCAATAAATATCCCAATACTGGCATCACAAACGATGCGTAAGATGGATGTAGGTGTGAGTGTTTCTTTTGTATTCACCCTCATCCACACCCTCATATCAGATATTTTGTTATTGTTGTCATCATCACTTGAATAAGATCATTTGATCAAACGTGTATCAGTTATGTGTTTAAAATTTTATTAAATAGATACAAAAACAATGCTCTATCGTAACATCCTACAGGCTTCACAACACATAGTATGTTTTTCAAAGGATGAAATGAACCAACCTTTGCATTTCGGCTTTGTGCATTTAAGTTCCTTTACTAAAACCATGAAAGACTCATCAAGCTCTTCCTGAAAGTGTGGGGTGTGGTTGTATCTGTCACGGGATCGCACCCACACCCGACTAGACGTTGATATTAAAGCTTTACCGTAGATGTACTTAAGCGAAGATTCAGAGAAGATACATTATGGTTTTCTGAAGAATTCCACCTAGACTTTGTTGATGGATAATTCTAGTAAAGACATTATTTTGAAGAAGAATTATCAACTTAAAGCTATGACAAATAAGTCGATACGCAGCCTAGATATTGAAATTCCCTAGTGCGAATTCCGGTATTATAAGAGAAATAATTTTTTGCAAGAAAGAACACCTAAATAGCTCCGACCATATATGGAAATTGGCCATTAGTAGAGGAAACAGAATTAACCACGGAATGTCTAGCCATGAGTGGCGGCCCGTAGGGGCGCTGACGAATGACTAGACATTGTGTTGCAACCGTCGCTCCAAGAAAAGATAGTAATTAATGGGAAAACCGCGAAGTCTGTCAATGCAACTGATTGAAATAGTATTCCACGTCGGTTAACAACTGAAAGACTTTTCTACATACGAATTTTTGGAAATACTGACGTGGAAATAAAACACTTTGATGCTGAATCTGACAGAGAACACCATTGAATAAATCTGAAAGTGTCAGCAATGTAAGTATTTTTTCGGAACAGGACCCGAGTCCGAAGATAAAGATGCTTGGAGCCTGATTCGAAGGTCTTTACTGTCAAACGATCGAGATATAACAAACAAAATGGACGAAAAAAATCATTTTCGTATATAAATATTTTTTCACTCTCTACCGTTATCTATTTTTCTCTGTATATGGCTTATTCGCTGCTATTTTCTAGAAAATAAATGGAAATCATTTTATCAATATCACAGATGCATCTAGTTTTTCCTTCATTTATTCACGTTTAATCTCCGAACGCGTCAATTTTTTCTCAATTGGAAATAAAAGTGGTATATATTGATATGTGAAATGATCGAAAACCGCAATGCCACTTATAGTAAAGATTTATACATTTTTTTTTCCGAAAGCAAGTAAGAGCAAGGGAGATCCAGCTCGAATGGCACTTTGCATTTAGAAGGTCCGCGTTAGCACAAACATCTGTTATAATACGGCCGAAAATTGTAAATACTTAAAACTTTTTTGTTTCACATAGCACTTTAACATGTCAGTAACAGCAAAATATAGGGTGACATTTCATACAATTAGAAAAAGTTGGCATCACACAATAGAAATCATACTGACCGCTATCTCTAAAAGTCGCAAATCATCTAAATTAATTATCTTATTGGGAATCAACTGCCCAAGTGAGCAAAAGACTGGTTAAATGACTAGTCTTTTTTCTAGTCAAGTTGACCCGTCC